GCTGTCAGCACAGGACAGGACAAGGGGCTTGAACTCACGAATGGTGAGATCATGACCTGAGCTGAAATCGGCCGCTTAACCAACTGAGCCACCAAGGCGCACCCCCCCCATATGTTTTTTAAAAATTTTTTAATGTTTATTTTTGAGACAGAGAGCACAGTGGGGGAGGGGCAAAGAGAGAAGGGACAGAGGATCCAAAGTGGGCTCTGTGCTGACAACCCGATGCAGGGCTTGAACTCATGAACTATGAGATTTTGATCTGAGCCAAAGTCAGACTCAACCAGCTGAGCCACCCAGGTGCCCCATACCTAATGAGTACTGGGCACTTTTATGTGGTCGATCCTCACGCACCACTAATGATAAAAGTCATTTGTCCTGGCATACCTGTTTGGGGTCAGGTCCTTGACTAGGTGACTTACTATTAGATGATTTAACCTTGGGGTGCCTGGGTGGCTCAGTCAGTTAAACGTCTGACTTCGGCTCAGGTCACAATCTCATGGTTCGTGGGTTCAAGCCCCATGTCGGGCTCTGCACTGACAGCTCAGAGCCTAGGGCCTGCTTTGGATTCTGTGTCTCTCTCTCTCTCTCTCTCTCTCTCTCTCTCTCTCTCCCCCTCCCTTGCTCTCACTCTCTCTCTTTCTCTCTCTCAAAAATAAATTTTAAAAAATTTAGATGATTTAACCTCAAAACAGCCTTGTCATATGTAGGTACACCCAGTTTTAAGGCAGTGGGCACTGAGGCTCAGAGTGGCTTCCCCAGGGCCACCAAGTGAACGATGGCCAATCCATGATCCCCTTTTATTCTCCCCACAGCATTTAAGGAAGATTTGTCTCCCCACTTTGAGGGCTGGGCAGGTGAGACCTCAGAGAGGTTAAGAGAAGTGATTAAGTGGAAGTCTTAGGGGGAAGGCCCAGACTTTCAGGTCTGGAAACATTGGCCCTTATCTGAGACCGTGCCTGGGTGTGCGCGCTTGTCATGGGTTGAATTGTGTCTCCCCCAAAACATGTTCAAGTCCTAACCCCTGGTGCCCACGAGTGTGACCTGATTTGGAGGTAAGGTTTTCACAATCTAATCAATGTAAGAGAAAGTCACATCGGATTCGTATGGGGCCTAATACCGTGACTACTGTCCTTACAGGAAGCCCATGTGAAGGCGCAGACTCGGGGAGAAGGCCGTGTGACAGCAAGTGGCGGAGAATGAAGAGATGTACGCACAGGCCAAGGAGCGCCATGATCCCAGGAAGCACCAGAAGTCACGAGAAAGGCACGTGCGGAACAGATTCTCCCTTCTTCGTGCACTCGGAGGGAGTACAAGTCCTGCTGCCACCTTGAGTCTGGACCTCTGGCTCCAGAACCACGAGAGAATAACCTTCTATTGTCCTCAGCCACCCAGCGTGTGCTCCTTTGCTGCGGCAGCCCTGGGAGACTAACGCGATTGGAGAGAGGAGGAGGACAGAGCCCTGAGCAGGTGGAATCACACAGTTTGTCACGCTCGGGTCTCAGAGCCGTCTTCAGAGCCACGCGGGGGTCCTGGGACTCCTGGGTGTCATTCCAGGCCCCAGGCCTGAGAAGCCGCCCTGTGCCTCCCTGGGCTTCAGCTGCTCAGCCGGGAAAGGTGGGGATCCAAGAAAGGATTCTTCTGCTTAAAACACCACCAGTTTATGTCCATTGCCGTCCTCACTGCCCAACCCCTACTGGGAACAGAACCGGCAGCCGCCTTCCCCTGTGCCCCTCCCAGGTGTCTCGGGAGCCTGGGCTCTTTCCCACAGCGACAGCCAGGCTAGGACCTCACCATCCCCACCTGCGTCTCGGAGGCACCATCTGGATGCAGCCCGAGGATCGACTCAGATCTATCTTTAGTTTTCTGTCCATCCCGGGACACCCGGCGTTTGGGTCAGTGGCCGCTGAGCTAGATGCTCCCAGAGCCTGGGACTCAGGCTGCATCCAGGCCTCTCTTCTAGCATCCCTCAGAAGCCCGTGTCCCTGCCCCATGCCGTCCTACACCTGCATTTGCCTCTCTATGGACTGGCAGTCTCCCCACTAGAGGTCACCTCCAAGAGGCTGCTGGCTGCTTTGTTCACTGCCACGTACCCAGGGCCCGGCACATGGAAAGCACATGATAAATGTGTGCTGAGGAGGGCGCCCGGCTGGCTCAGTCGGTTGAGCGTCTGACTCTTGATTTCAGATCAGGTCATGATCTCAGGGTTCATGAGTTCGAGCCCCGCGTCAGGCTCTGCCCTGATCGCCCGGAGCCTGCTCATTCGTCATT